AAACATCGCACTTAAACGTGTGGCGAATTGCACATGGGTTTCATCTGCTTGCCTTTTGGCCTTTCTAAAATTAAGTAAACACTCCTGCGCAGTGGGCTGGAACTCTCTTAAAATTAATGATTTAACTAAATCATACTCTTTTATTTCGTCATATTTTATGTACAGTAAAACATTGTGTGTTCTCTCACCAAGAATATTAATAAGGATTTCTACTTTCAAGTTTTCGGGGACATTTTTGACTCTAAATGACCGTTCTAGGGATTGGAAAAAAAGACCAAAATTTTCAGTTTTCGTTGGGATTTGTATAGTCAGCTTTTTTACACTCTTAATTAAATTTTCTAAATTATTTGTATCTCCTTTTGAACTTTGTTGCGTTGCTTGCCCTTCTGCCAAAGTTTTCTGAAGTTCAATTTCTCGTTCAATTTGCTGTAGTTTAATTTTTTCTAACTCTAGTTGTGAGTTGGTCTCTTGCAGCTGCCGTTCGGCTTTCGCCTGCCTGTCCTCGACGGACAAATTTAGCAGATTTATCACAAAATCGGGATCGTCTTTGAAAGCTGCGGATTTTTCCAATTTGGTTTTCAATTCAATTGTTATTTTTTTAGACGTGGCTTGTTCTCCAATTTCCTTGAGAACACTTATTAAGTCCTCCTTTCTTGTATTTTTGTGGTACGACATATTATAATACAATTATACTTATTAAAATAGAAGGATACTAAAAGGTATCTTACCTTTTTTTTTCTTTCGTGGAACTCCCTTCTACATGCACAGGCAAATCGGTATCCAATGAAATGCACACACAAATGTTCACAGTCCAGATCGCCTTAGTTGCAGTATTCACAGTCCTTACAGTCCATATCGCGTTTGTTGAAATATTAACAGTCCTCACAGTTTATATCGCGTTTGTTGCAATATTAACAGTCCTCACAGTTCATATCACGTTTGTTGCAATATTAACAGTCCTTACAGTTCATATCGCGGCCGTGCCCCCATATTTTGTGGGAATTATGGTACAGTTCTAGGGGTATTCAATAATCACACTCTCGTTTGTTTTTAATCTAACGTTTAATGCTGGACAAAATACACAGTTCTACTCACTACGACAGACGTTTAACACATATAATACAGTATCTACAATTCGATTAAGCCCTCGTGCTGAGAGTGACCTGCGCGTCTCTCTCGTGGACAACGGGTTGGTGGGTCCCTACTCGGCCACCGTTCTCGTCACTCTTTCTTCAGCCCCGGATCATCGACCTCCGCGTCTAGAGTCCGCTCGCTGAATTCCGATCTTCACAATAATACTGAGGTACAGGAGTGTTGAGAGTGAACTACGCGTCTCTCTCGTGAACAACGGATTGGAGGATCCCTACTCGACCACCGTTCTCGTCACTCTCCCTTCAGCCCCGGATCATCGACCTCCACGTCTAGCGTCCGCTTGCTGAATCCTCTCTCCTTCGTTAACTCCTGGTGGCTGCCTTAACAGCGCCCTCTATAGAATGTTCATGTGGAAATTTCCCACATATATCTTGTTCAAATGTTTAATCGTTTATAAAATACTTTCTATTCATCCAATCAAGTTCAAATATTTTTTTTAACTTGAAGTGGATGACACTTGATGTTAATACAGTTTTTTAAAATATTAATGCATTAATTACCGTTTAATTAATTATCGGTTTTCGACGCTAGCTTAGATTCGTTTCCATTGTTCTAACAATGTAACTGTTAAAACAAAGACAAAAGTTGGCATCGAAAACTGGTTTTTCAGCCAAACTAGCCAAACCGGATCAATGCAGACAAATCATGCTCTTTTTTCAATTCCAACCATTAATTCACGCTCTCCATATATATGTATTGTATGAATTTTGTACAAGATAGTGTAAATAATTTGCATTTGGGTGTGGAATACATTTATATTACTCTATGTTGTATTAATTTTATGTTAAAATTGTAATATTCGCAAGCAACGCCGCCATTCAATGGGAACTTTACGAAATCTTGGTGCTAAAGCCAAGTTGGGCATAATTTTTGGTGCCCACTTTTGGCAAATTCGAGACTCTTCTGGAAATTTGTGGAGAAATACACTCATTTCAAGATCTATGACGCAAGCGGATCTTTCTCGGAGGATCCGCCAGGCATATAAATAGAGTGATGCTTGCCGAAACGAGTCAGTATTGTATTTAATAGTAATTAGTAAACTTGCCTTGACCGTGATTACCGATGAGTTCGACTGTTTTTGTGAATAATATTTTACATGCGTGTATTTTAGACATTGAAAATTCTGTCTGAATGTTGTTGAAGGTATGAAGACCGTCTGAGATTTACCCTGTGAATATTGCTGCTGCATCCTGTATTTCAAGGATTGGATTTCCGACAATAAATTATCATCACACTTAAAGAACTGTCTTGTTTTTGTAACTAATTTGCATAAAATCCTCGAAACCCGATCAACTTAACAATATATTTACTTATATATATATATAAAATCAATCACAATAATCAATTAAGAAATTGAAATTATTCGAATCTTATAATACTTCAAAATTACTTGCGGCTATTGGTATCGCCAAACGCGCGCTCGTGAAAGCGTGATACGCTTACCCCTCGACCCTGTGCTTCATTTTAAATATTGTATAAATAATATTTCTTTTGCGATGAATATAACGAATAGTAGATCATCTCAACTTTTAAGAAAATGTATCTTGACGTATGTCTATCATTATGCATGCAAAACAAACATTTAAATAGAAGAATAAAAAAAATTGAAAGAAAAATAAAACGTATACAAATCTTTATATTTAAAAATCTTCTGTGCGTGTGTTTGTCACTAAACTCCTCCTAAACGGCTGGACCGATTTCGATGAAATTTTTTGTGTAGGTTCAAGTAAATTAGAGAATGGTTTAGATTCACAATTCGGTCCGATATCGCAATTATATATATATAGTTAAAAAAAATTAATAAAAAACATTCAAAAAATACAACTCAACATTCACCTCCATTGTTGTAAGAACGCTATTGTTATAAACAAGTAATATAAAAAAAAATTTGATCAATTCCTACTTAGATCAACCAAGAAAAATTTATTTTAGCTACTTTTTATTAAATAGTTGCAATTAATTTAAATATGTATATACATATGACAGAATAATAACATGAAGCGGTAATTAATTTTTATTAATTATCATTAAAGTATCGTTTTGTCAACCAAAACAATCGTGTATATAAAATTTCCTTTCAACCGAATGCGTGAGAAAAAAACCTTTTCAAACTTTGACTAAGTCGCCAAAAGGGTCGCTAAGTTGCCAACGTGGCTGTATTTGTAATTTTTTAAATAATTAGTTTTAATCAATTAATTTTTAATTATTATAATTAAAAATTATTGTATTGTCATCCAAAATAATCATGTACATTACGTTTCAGCTCAATTGAGCGCTTTAAAATGTATTTTATTAACGATTGAAAATTCCACCAAGATATAAATAAATAAACAAATAAAATATATAGAGAGATTGTGAGCTAACAGTAGGAATGGAAAAAGACGTAAATTGGCGTCGAAAATTGATTTTCAGCCAAACTGGCCAAACCCGGTCTTTATTGTTACGAAAATACGCACAATTCACGCTTTTTAGAGTTTTTAATTAATATCTTTTCAAATAATCTTCATATATGTAATTCTTCTGTGCGTGTGTATGTAACTGAACTCCTCCTAAACGGCTGGACCGATTTTAATGAAAGTTTTTGTCTGTTTCAGTGGACTCGAGAATGGTTTAGATTTATAATTCGGTTTAGAAATGTTTATTTAATTAAATTTTATTTATAAATTGTTGATCTTGTAATGTTTTACATTGGATCCGGCAAACTGCGCTACGATCGCACTATAGAATATTCAAAAATCTTTTATTATAATTCAAGTTGATCCCGACAGTTGGTGCTGTGATCATTTCAGGAAAATATTTTGTCACTTCGTGTTATTATTCTGTTGAAATAAATCATGTGTTAATTAAATTAGTACATTCAGATGTAATTAGTGTTTGAAGAGTTTTGAAATGTGCATAAAAAACTATACATTCTCCAAATTTAGTATGCAATTGAAGTGAGTATTTTACATGATTTTTTCTATTAAATTTACACGTGCGTTGACAACAATTATCCTAACCGACAAATCTATTTGTGTAGCTAATTGATTAAACACATTATTAAACTTTTTTTTATTTAAAATTATTTCTTATCGGAAATAGTTTGTGTGTGTGTTTCACTTCTAAGCAACCCAGAAGTATAAAACTTGGCACATAATTACATTGTAATAACTTTTTAATACAAATTTTACTGAAAAAGGTCCAGATTTTTAAAGCTTATTCATAAAAATTTGGAATTTTTGAATTTAAGATGTGTGTACAGGACAACGTCTGTCGGGTCCTCTAGTCGTTCATAATAATTTAAGTATCATTTAGATTTCTTTAGACAAACTATGTAATTTTAGAAAATTTATAGCGAATATAAATAACTAAATAATAAATATCCATAGAAGTCCATAATTAATTTATGATACTTGTTAAGGAGGAGGGAAAAAGCGATAACTCGCAATATTTGGCAGCCTCTTATGGCTCTATACCCGCCACCTGGACTCGTGGGTTGTTATATAAATAAAAAGAAACTACGCAGTTGATTTAGATTTGAATATAAATCAAAGCATATGTAACATTCAAATTCGAAATATGTTCTTTGAAATGGTTTTTATATATAAAATACATCCATTAACGTTGGAAATTATTCTTATATATATATACTATATATATAATTTTATCGTCTACTATCCATTTTCCTTTCTATATATGGTGTTGAACTATTATTTTTTGGACTACTATTTATTCCCATTAAATATAATTATTGCAATAAAATAGTATATATATATATATATATATATATATATATATATATATATATATATATATATATATATATATATATATATAATAAAAAGAAATTACATTCTCAGAAATAAGGTCATCCTAGGTGGGATTGGAATCCACGACCTTTGGATCAAAATTCCAACGCGCAATCCATTTCGCTACCAGGTACACCACAAACGATGTTCCTTTTTATATTTCCTGTTGGAATATTAATTTTGTTGGAATACTATTTATTCATTTTTTAATTTAATTAATCAATTAACTGTTGAAAAAACTGTATTTACATCAAGCATTAACCACTACAAGTTTTAAAAAAATGTATTTGAACTAGAGTGAATGAATAAAAAGTATTCTTTTGGCGATAGAAAATTTGAATAAGATATAAAGATAAATAAATATATATAGGGAGAGTGTGTGATTTAATAGTAGGAATTGAAAAGGTTAAGTCAATTATTGATCGATTTATTTAGCTTTTAGATTGCAATATTCTGGTTTGTTACGTCCTACTTTTATTGGAAATGTTCAGTTAATCCGAATGAATTATTGTCATCATATTTCAAACACTGAACCACCGAAACAAAAAATAAATTGGCCAGGGGATATGAACTCGTCCACTCGATCTACTTTGGCGTGTTGCAATTTTATAGTCAGTCTGTATGGTTTTCCAGCCACAGTTTTTTCTGCCTGCATATTTGTAAAATTTGGTTTTCACAAATAGGAATCAAATATATTTTGGCTTGACACTTTTGCCTGGCGTTTCCACTAAAACGGTAGATTTCAATCGAGTGCGTTAGATTGTAGAGTATTTTTTTCTTTCATTTTTGTAGAGATCTGTATGAAACTGACAAAAAGAATGTTTAAAACTGTCACCTCCTACAATTGCGTGCGAACAAGTTACAAACAACGGATTTACATAAAACCCCATTTGTCAGTAAATAAATGTTGCAATTGGACTTGATTCACGCTTTATATTTATGATTGATTTGTCATTAACGTCACAGTAACTCGAATGAAAAAGCAAAGACAGTTCGCGATGAACATCGTAAATCTGAATCACGCTCAAGTGTCGAGGACGACACCTGAGCTCGAAAACCTCTCACTTTATTTCTACACTACGCCAACGTTATGACTTTGAGTTTGGACAGTATTAAAGTACATCAGCATTTCTTCCAGATTTTTGTTTAGTAATACTAAGGTGACCAGTTTTCTTATAATGAAAAGGAGGACGAAATATCGGGGATCATTTAGGATGGCGAGTTGGGCATCCTACGAGTTTGAATGAACTAGAGGCAAGGTTACAGCAAATATTGAACGAAATGTCTCAAGACATCATACAGAACTTGTACTCCTTATTGCCGGATCGCATCGCATCGTTTATTCGCGCTAGAGGGGGTTCAACAGGGTATTAAATCCTCCGTTCTTTTGCCTTTTTCTCTGAAATAAATGATACTTTATTTTTGATTTTCAAATCATTTACTTATATCAAAGTAGTCATTACTTATATAAAATTTCATTTCATTTTGACGACTCCTTGGTGCGCTAATTTTTTAATCTATAAGTGTATATGAAACATTTTATTAATTAATACAAAAATACCCAAATTACGCTTTTATTAATTAATGCAAAAATACCCAAATTACGCTTTTATTAATTAATACAAAAATACCCAAATTACGCTTAAATTACTCTTAGTTATTTACTTAAACGAGTATTTTTCCATTGAATGATTTTTTTTGTCAACATATCATTTTCTAATGCATCGGAAATTTCGGAGCAAAACATTTGCTTCATACTGAATTTTACGGTAAGCACTGTAGCTAATATATTAACATTTAATCTTGATTTCTCACTTGTCCAAAAACCTTTTCAACTGCTGCATCATTCCATGGCAGCACAACGTTAAATTCAGCAAGAATAATTAAAATTTTCATATGGAATATGTTCATTTTTAAATTGGTTTAAGTGTTTTCACCGGTCTTATCAATTTCAGCATGTTGATTTTCCAATTTTTCTATTTTATTAGAAATTACTATATGCATTCTGTCGTTTTGCTTCTTCAAACCGAACATTGTCATTGATTTTAATATCAGGCATTTCTTTCGATAAAAACTGAACACAATTTTCTATATTTGCCCACTTAATTTGCGATGAAGTCAAAAAGCACCTTTGAAAACTGTTATTTCCTGTAATATTTGTTTCAGCCAGTCTTCGGCGTATTGGAAATATGCTTTGTTCATCTCTGAATACAGAGGTTAACAGATTGGTTTTAAAATATTGAAAAGGATGACAAGTAGGACAGCTTTCGAGGAAGGACAGAACCTATAAAAGGAGGATGGTTGGTCACCTTAGTAATACCAGGATTCGTACCCATGACTCAACAAAAAACAATGCGGCCACGATGATTGCGAAACCATTACCATTTGTCTATCGCCCTCACGTGTTGTACTTCAAAGATCAAGGATGATTTAATAGAACAGAACAAGGATGAAATGATAATAAAAAGAGCATTCTTTTTTTAAAAATATTTTTTCAAATATGCCATTTTAAAAAAAAATGTAATCGTTAAGCAAACAAGAATTCAGTAAATTATAACAAAGAACATTATCAAACACATACATAAATTACTTTTTCTTCATTTTTACACAATTAAGTAGATTGAAGATAAAAGATCAAAATAAACTAATTTACATTTTGAACACAGAAGGAATACACATTCCTTGGTAATATTACAAAAGAAAAAAAATCAAATATTCTCCTCCGCACTGTGAGACAGACAAAAAAGCTGTCTGGCGCCACTTATTATATACACACTGTACATAAATTTCGCTTTTTCACACGCATCAATTTCCTTTAGTAAAATACGATTCTAGTGGAGCAGATGATTCAAAAAACTAAAAAAAATTGGTAATTTCCTATTACAGCCCACCTCTTGGAGAAGAATTTTTTAAGCTGCTCCAAAATGACGCCAATGCACGTTTTTCAAAATCGAGTTCAAGCGAACTGGGAAATAAATGACATTTTGTCCGAAGGAGCAAAAATGGAAAACATTACAACTTAAGGAAATAATTCGTGTAAAATTTAGATTCAATAAAAATAGTAAGTACTTTTTAAAACTTTCGGAACGATTCCATGAAAAATTTAGCTTTTCAAAAATAGGAAGTAGAGAACATTAAAAAAAGAATTGAAATTCAAAAGAGAATTACAGACGTTAAGAACAAATTCATTATAATTGCGACTTCTAAACATAGGAAATTAAGAGCATTCTAATAAACAAAAATTGATATCCGAAGGTCAAAAACGAAAACATTTTTTATTACTTTTGAAAAATAGGAAATTAAGAACATTCCAAAAAAGGAGTTAAAGTTTGAAGGAGAAAAATTGAAACTTTTAAGACGTTAAGAACAAGTTATGAAAAAATTCCGTTTCTAATAGTAGGAAATTAAGAACATTCTAATGTGAAATTATTTATATCCGTACAACAAAAACGGAAATTTCTTTTTACCTATCGAAAAGTAGAAAATTAAAAACAATCTGAGAAAAAGGAATAGATGTTCGAAGGAGAAAAATTGAAATTTTTTTTGAACGAACTTCTGCATGATTTAATTTCTCTTTAAAAAAAAAGGTATTAAACACATTCTAAAATTACTCAAACGACTTTTATTAAACCACACAGCTTTCCTTACTTCATGCGGATATTTCCCCCTTTTGAACGGCATCTGCATTTTAACTTTTCCCCGTGTGAGCACCAGCTCTCTCTCTAATATATATATATATATATATATATATATATATATATATATATATATATATATATACTTCCCACTTTTTTTCCAAAAAATTTTTAAAAAACAATTAAACCTTGCTTTCATCTCGTAAACAATAACCGATAATAGCAAGTACAGTTGAACCTGTTTTGTGCGGTAGATAGGGACCGCATAAAAATAAACGCACAAAAAATATTCAAAAATTTCATAAATTCTTACATAAAACAAACTAATCTGTGAAGATACTACAAAAAAAAATTATGCGGTGGATAGGGACCGCATAAAAAAGTCGCATTTATAAAATATGTCAATTGTTAACGAAATTTATGTAAGACAACTTCCTTAACAGAATAAATAATTAAATATTACTCATGGAAACATTTTAAAAACCTGTAGTTTCCATTGTAACACGAATAAGTTTACATAACTCATTGCAATTCATCGTTATCCAAAGCCCGGTAATGAATAAGTTCAAAATAGCTTTCGTCACTTGAAGGTACAATTTTAATTGATTTTTTTCGGCAACATAAAGTAAGAGATAAGTTTTTGTGACGAAGTTCAGGTGGTCAGTTGCTTGTAAATGTCACGATAACCAGATATACATGATTTAAGTTCTTTTTGGAATTTTATACTCCTTTCTTAATTGGTATCTTTTTTAAGAAAATGCTTTTCCAATTTCTTCGAAAATTGGATGCCCGCATATTTTTATCCACTCTCAAAGAATCCGGTTCTTCTTGTCCGTCTTCATAATCCATCAAATTATTGATGTCACTGTCATTGAAAATTTCGTCTTCAGTCAAGCGTGGGATGCTGGAGCGTTGAGAGAAAGCAACTGAATGCGCATTGTCGGGACACTGTTTATAACAAATGAACAGAGCGTCTTGAAGTGTCTACATTTCAGTGGCGTAACGTATACACCCGCATCAAGGGGGGGGCAGGACTCTAGAGGCACAAGGCCTGACTTACGCTAAATACGTATTTACCCAATTTATAAAATATTAAAAGCAAAAACTGACTTTCGGGGGGGGGGATAACATTCTCCATTACACCACTGGTAAATATATAGAAAACATTACAGTAGAGCCAAAGCCATTGAAATTTATACACCGCATAAAAAAAGATCGCACATAAAAAATCGCGCAAAACAAATCGCATAAAAAAGACCGTATAAAAACTGGTTCTACTGTATTATCCAAATAACATTAAAACGTCGAAATAACGGTAACGCGAGTGGTAACCTCGTACGTATATAGTAAGTGGCGAGTATACTAACTACTAAGGTGACCAAATGTCCTCCTTTAGGGAGGACAGTCCTCTTTTTATAGGTTATGTCCTTCCTCGAAAAGTGTCCTTCTTTTTGCCCTCCTTTTCAATATTTTAAAACTGATCTGATAATATCCGTATT